AGTTGAGCCTAATGCAGAGATGTGAGCATACTCAAGAGTTTGAATGATAGTGCTGGAGGACTGCATCTTCACTGGACTTTTCTGCTGATTCGTGAGGACTGAGAGGCTGTTAAAGGAGCTGACAACGCCCTTCATCTTCTTTCAACTGGGACCAAAGGACAGGTGACATTGGAGGGTTCCAGATTTCCATTGGAGAAAGGTATTACATTCCCAAGCTTCACCATCATATCAGGCCTGCAACGTTTTTTTATTTTATTTTATTGGACTATTTAGTTAAATATTTGCCGGCTTAGGTGGACATTGAAGTGTGGGCCCCACTTTGGTTTATAAAAGTTTTGAGAAACTTAAAGACTGAACATTTTGTATTTTCTGAATATTTCATTGTGTGTTTAATATATGTTCAAGATTTCTAAACTTTAATCCTGTGTGTTGTTTGGTTATTTCTGATAGAGTAATATTTTGACAAAGTTTAATATTACCTGTGTTTGTTTTACAGTATATCCAAGTGTTTTAATCCTTTTCAGAGTCGTATTRTTGAATGAACAGAACATAGAGTGCTAGTGTCATTTTACTTAAAGGTGAGTAAAACTCAACACATGAGAAATATAAAAGTTGTAAATTTAACTAAAGGGTTTATCGAACTCAGGGGCCCTTACCTACTTCAAAGGTATAGGTGGGCTACATTAGCTTCAGCAGCTAGCTGGAAGTTTTGATTAGCTTTCATGTGTTGCTCTCGGCTAACGACGACAAGTCCAAACTTTAGCCCAACATGTTTAAAAACAGCTGAAGTTTAGTCGTTATTTTAAATCGCTTTTTCTAAAACATTCACTGGATCACAGTTGGATATCAGCGCAGAGAAGCTAACGACTAGCTCAGCTACCTATTAGCATGGCAATAAATGTGACTCACAATGTAGCACGTTTGTGCTAATGTCCTTGATGTCAGTTTTTGACTGATTTAAGACTTCTTCCACTGAACATAAAACTAACAGGCTAACTATTAGCTCTGTGAAGCTAGTCATTAGCATTTTAAGGCCAGGGACCAACAAACAAACCAAGTTAAGGCTGTTAGCATGGCAAAGCTAATGTCGCTAACAGCAGTTTTGACTGTGTTTAAGAGTTTATGAGTTAGCCTTTTTGTGCTAAAACATACATAATTCTAACTCTTAGCTCTGTGAAGCTAGTCATTTGCAAAAAGTAGCATACTTGAAGTTAATTTTAATAAGTATACTTGAGCATAAGTTTAAGTACTGGGCACCATGTACTTGTAATGTACTAGAAAGTATACTGATTCAATATATTCTCGAACTAAATTGGAACTTTTTTTAGTTTCTAAAAAGTATACTAAGTATATTAAGTACTGAATACTGTTATGTCTTTTTAAGTTCATAAACTTGCCAAAAAAAGTATACTTTAAGTACATAGCATTAAGTATACTAAAGTACATAAAGCGTATTTCCCTAAGTGTACTTTTAGTTACCATGTACACTGACATAAGTATACTAGCAGTTTACTAACGAGTATACTTCTAAGACTATATAGGCCCATGATAAGTTTGTGAAATACTCTGAAGTATCCTGAAAATAATCTTCTAAGTAAACTTTTAGTTTAATCTTTAAATATACTAAAAATAAACTAGTCGGTGTGAAAAGTGTTCTACTAACGTTTCTCTTGGCCAAAAGTTGAAACATTAGTATAGACTAAGTTTACTTAAAACTTTAGTCTACTTTTAGCACAAGCCAAGTATAATGTAAGATAATCTTGGTAAAGTATATCCCAGATAATCTCAGATTAGCACCTTGGAGCAGCAAACCCAATTTCATTGTACTGCAAATTATAATGATGATAAATGTGATTCTGATTCTGAAAAAATCAAATGAAAGTACACTGGAAGTATAATCTTTTATTTATTATTACTTTTGTTTTTTGTTTAAAATTTGTGTACTTAAAGGATATTTGCATACGCCACGTTTGCTAAGGGATGTTAAGGCCAGGAACCAACAAACAAGCATGCTAATGTTGTTAACAGCAGTTTTGACTGATTTTTAAGACTTTCTAAATTAGCCTTTTTGTGCTAAAACCATATATCATTAGTTAAAATAGGCTAACTGTTAGCTCTGTAGCATGAAAAGGCAACACACCAACAAACAGCAGTTTAAATATCTTTATATTGATCAATAAAATACATTTTTAGTTGTTGTAACCCTGGGTTTCTAACAGATCTGTTTGTTTTAAAAGCTTCTGCAGCTTTCTCCTAAAAGTAAAACTATCCTTTGTAGTTGTCTGCAGGTGAATTTTACTTCAACCTTTAAACACAGGAGCAGAAACAAACAGAAGTGTGCACTTTCAGATGTTCATCTATCTGTGTAGTTTCTAATAAAAAAAAGAGGTTTTAGTTTTTGGTTCCTCTCCACCTGAACTGACTGGTTCCTGTTTTGTTTTGCAGCCACTTTGGTTTTTATGACGACAACGAAAATGTTGTGGAAATGAGGAACCAGGAGGTAGGCCGGCCCGTCTCATGTCTAATCTGACGGGTTCTGTTAACTGAATAAAGTTTTTATTTTTTTTGTTCTGACAGTTTTACAGGAACGACACGTTTGGTCTGAAGACGCTGGACGCTCGCGGCGGCCTGTCGGTGTGCGTTCAGTCTGGGGTGGAGCACACGCACTGGCACGACAACTTCACCGTGTTTCAGAAGTGCATGGAGCGGTGGCTCACCTGAGAACAACACCTCCTCTGGACATGTCCAAACCATCACACTCTGTCCTCTGTGTCCTTAATAATCCTTTAAATTCCTTCTGCTTATTTTTAATTATGTAAACCGACAAGGAAATTATAAAAATCATACTTTAAAAAATGAATCATTTAGATTTTTGTGTTTACATTTGAAAGAGGAAATTATATTAATTTAAGTGTAAAAAATGTTGTGTAGAGTTCAGACTTTCTGTATAAATACACAAAAATAAATAAAATATGCTCTCATCTTTACAAACTGCTGCCCCCTGGTGGCTGTTAGTGGCTCTGCAGGCAGAGTTGTAAAGTAAGTACAAGTACTTTGTTACTGTATTTAAGCAGAATTTTTGTGTATCTGTACTTTACTATAGTAATTATTTTTCAGCCTACTTTTTACTTCTTACATTTTTAAAAAGACAAAAAGTAGAAAGTTATTTTTATTTAATTTTTTCTTGTTTTCATTGCAGCTTGTTGTTGTAAAAAATAAAAACTATCCATATAAACTGAGCCTCCT